AAATGCATCATATTCCTACTGTCATCACACTAATCTCTTTGCCCAATTCATCATAACTAACCTTGGACTGCTAAATGTTTTCCTAGTTAATATTTTTTCTAATCTCATTCCTTCCTTTCTAAACAATGTAACTTCTTTATATTTTTTCAATGCCTTACCTAGGATAGTTTAAACTTTGCATATCGGCTCTGATCGCCCAATGTTACTAAGGAAGAAATTTTAATTCTGTCGAAAGGACTCCTCACTATTCACCACCTCCTGACCATCCCTCCCCCTACACACATGATTTCACTGTGGTTCCTAATCCCCAGATGTCTCTAGACAACCTGAAACATAACCCCTTCCTCTATGTTCTAAGTCTCACTTCCTCTAGAACTCACATCTCTACAAATACTTCCTTTTTGTTGTAAAATATGTTTTTACTTATTTTAAATTATTTTATCTTGAAAATTAGTGTCACCAAGTTGTGTTTTGCTTGTTTTTTAACAGATGTGTCTATGGCAGGTTTTGTCACATTAAAAAAAATATTTTATATATCTATGGGTTTTAGTCTTCTTAAAAGTAGAATCTAAGTCATGTGTATATTTTAAGCCTTAGCATTAGAAGAATTATATGCATATAGGAAGCACTCAATAAATAGTGTGAATTGAATACCCCCAACTAGGGCTTCCCTGGTGGCTCAGTTAGTGAAGAATCTGCCTGTGATGAAGGAGACCCGGGCTCGATCCCTGGGTCAGGATGATCCCCTGGAAAAGGAAATGACGACCCATGCCAGTATTCTTGCCTGAGAAATCCCATGGACAGAGGAGCCTGGAGGGCTACAGTTCATGGGGTTGCAACAGTCGGACATGACTTACTGACTAAACATACCTACCTAACTAGATTGCATGTGTAATGTACCTGTACATGTGGTGGGTTCTCAGCTAAAATTTGTTAAATGGTGGTGAATGGTTAGCATCGTTGTAGGGAAATGATATGAGGGATAGGAATCAAGAACATTTTTCTGACTGTGAGGATATGAGATTTGGGAAGATGTGAAAGAGGGACAATCCCAAAATTGTCTTTTCACCAAATTACTGCTTACTCCTGCCAATATGTGTGACTCCAACAATTTCTTCTATGTAGAAACAGATAAATATTTCTTTCTAGAAAATGAGAGGATAAATTGTCTAGTGACCAAGGGTTAACCAGTCCCAGGATCATTTCCCAGATTACACCCAGTGCTCCTCATTTCATAATTTCTTATTAATCACAAAATATTTTCTGGATTTAGGGTGTTTGGTCTTATGGATGTCCTTTACTTTACTTTCCCCGACTCCTCAATGTATCCAAAAAAGTCTCATCTAAACATAATTCTGATATTTTATAGAATTATCTGTTTCAGAGTGTCTTGAGATTGATCTCTTGTCTCTATTCTCCCATACCAGTGGAGAAGTGAAAAGAGACTCTTTATAGGCAGATTTATTTGCTCCAGGCACCAACACCTTAGCAGACATTGAAAATTGCCCATGTGCAAGAGATAGTCAATCTTAGAGCATTGACCTGAGGGGCAGGGACGTGTTGGGATCTTCTCTAGGGACAGAGGCAAGAGCAGGCGCCGTTTTGACCTCTCCCTCTGCCTTGTTAAATGTGGCAGGCACTATTTTATTTTATTATAGATTTTGCTCCAAATTTTTTCCCCTTGGTGAATGCTACTTCACATTTCAACTGAAAAGCATCATCTCTGTGCTCTTGGTCTGCCTTGCTAAACCTGGTGGGCACCATCTTTTTATTTTCCCCTTTGCAGGTGCCAACTTCAGGCTCTCCGTCTGTCACACTCCACAGATCCAGTGTCTCCCAGAGCGGGGCTCTTACACATGACTGGTGTTCCTGCTTTTATGTCTGGTGCCCTGGTTTGGGAAACTGTGACCAGGGGACATCTCCAGATTAACTGGTTCTGGTGGCTGTCAGGGTTTATGCTCACAGGTCCTGCAGGACTATAACCAAAAGAGAAAGATTTCTTAAATAGCCCCCACCCTTAGGGCACAAAAAGAAATAGCAGACCCAGGAGCTCAGTCTTTTTGTGAAGGAAACCTCTACTTTATTATCATACTTGCAGCCTGAAGGGCAGGGTTCTGATTAAACACACAGCTAAGGGCTAACTGTAAACTTTTCCAGGGACCCCAGAAGGCAGGGGCTGTCTTTGTGCTCTTATGATGCCACCCCAGAGCACCAGTGTCTCTCAGAGGGACACTCTTACAAGTGTCTGGTTTTTTATCTGCTTCCTTATTTATTTTTTGTGGCTGCCATTCAGGGATACCTTTTGATCTCTTGACTCTGGTGGCCAAGGGGGCTTGAATCCCTGTACACATTCCTAAGACATTTTATATTTAGGCTTGACAGGTGATATTATGACAGTGATTTGCCAGAGGTGTGCTGAAGATTCATACATGCCGTGAGTTACTCCCAACATTTCAAGGCCTCCTTAAACATTCTTCAAACTATTTCATTTCAATTCAGTTCAGTTGCTCAGTCATGTCTGACTCTTTGTGACCCCATGGACTGCAATATGCAAGGCTTCCCTGACCATCACAACTCCTGGGTCTTGCTCAAACTCATGGCCATTGAGTCGGTGATGCCATTCAACCATCTCATCCTCTGTCATCTCCTTCTCCTCCTGCCTTCAATCTTTCCCAGCATCAGGGTCTTTTCCAATGAGTCAGTTCTTCGCATCAGGTGGCCAAAGATTGGAGCTTCAAATTCAGCATCAGCATTCAATATTCCAATGAATATTCAGTCCTTCCAAATCAATATTCCAATGTCTTCCTTTAGGATTGACTGGTTTGATCTTCTTACAGTCCAAGGGACTCTCAAGAGTCTTCTCTAAACTATTTAGAATGTTACAATTCACTTAACAGTTTGAATCGTTATCATGTGATGACTCTACCTTAACTAATAGAAAGGGGCAACCAGAGACACCCTTAGAAGCCTATCTAGGTAAACACTGCAGTGAATTGTCCATACAGGAACATAACAAGGAATTGTTTTGGATGGCGGGAATTAACATGGCTATAAAATCATATAATAGATGAAAAGAATACAAGACTAGAGATATTGTAATTAATAAAAGCAATAGCATTGAAGGAAATGTAGACAGCTAAAAACTTTTAGTGTTTCATTCCTGTTCTGAAAGGAAAATAAACCAACTGCTATGTATTTTGCTTAGATGGCAGAAAAAATCTGGTAGGACTGATTCTTGTCATGTTTTTGCATTTTTTCATAGCTTAGAACTTTTATTCAGTAAAAAGCAGCAAGTAATTGTCATTCCTGGAGAAGCTTAATATTTTGAATGGTCATTATGTTATCTTCTGCTGTGATTATTAAAAAGCATTTTTCTCTTGTTATTAATGTAGGCATGGTTTAGACATTTTTAAAAAATTAACTGGCCACTTCATTCTTATTTTAACAATTTACTGAATCCTCTGTCTTCTGAAAGTTTTTTTCAAGGTCAGGTTCCAAATGCTGAAGTACAGAGACTGACAAGCATCTTTTGCACCTGGCTCGCCTTTAGCATCTCTGGATGGCTTTTAAATAACGCCAAGTTTTCCTCCTTTAGCTTGGTTGTGTAACATGAAATGAACATATGACTTAAAAGTGGATACTAGCAATAATTACCGTCATTCACTTCAGTGCTTTCAAAATTGCTCTACAGTATTGAAAGACTGATTTTTTTTGACAGGTACACCACATAGGAAGAAATGTCCTTTCCCATTGAGGGAGAATCACTACTAATAAACTTACTTTTTGAGGGTAGAAATTTGTTTATGAGGATGGACTACTAGTGAAATAACTGCTGAAATATTTTATTTTGTATACTGAATAAAACAGACAACATTCCAGATACACACCTGAAATCACTTGGGCAGTTGCTAGTGGAAAATAGAAGTGGAATTTTGAAAAATAATTAGACCAGTATTTGTACCTAATAAAGAGGTGGATACTTTGCCACAGCACAATTAGATGAATATTCTGGTGATGCCACTAAACTCAGTGACAGCATCACTTGAAAGATCTTTTTATTCAGCTTATTGACTAACTTTAAAATTTCCTTTTGTTTATCAGAAATACCCCTACTTGTCAGGAGGCACAGACTATATAGTCTCCAATCAACAATTATAACTCTGTAATGTCATCCGTTACCAGGAATATTATTTCTTGAGGTGTTCACAGAATCATAGCACTTTTAAGTACTGAAATTCCTGAAAGACTGAAGTGACTTCTTTCCAATTATGAGAAAATGAAATGTGAAAGAGAAAGTCGTGTTCCACTCTTTGCGACCCCATGGACTGTATAGTTGAATTCTCCATGCCAGAACACTGGAGTGAGTAGTCTTTCCCTCTCCAGGGGATCTTCCAAACCCGGGGATCGAACCCAAGTCTCCCACATTGCAGGTGGATTCTTTACTAGCTGAGCCACAAAGGGAGTCCTCATTTATGAAAGTTTAAGTAATTTTCCCAAATTTGCACCACTAAGTTGCGGTGCAAGTAGGACCAAATTAAAGATCTTCAACTGCAATAATTTTCTCTCCACTTCCTCATCTCCTAACACACTCCCATGCATTTGTCAGAACAGCTCTGTTTCCAAGTGAGAGGAATGAATGCTCCTGAAGACACAAATGTGTGACCATCACTGACCAGCACAAAGCTAGATCACAATAGGGGCCCAGTTAATATATTTCATATGCAACTGGGTCAAACTTTAAAGTACTAAATTAAAACAATCCTTTTAGCGGAGAAAATTCTAAGTTTCAGAAGAGGACCTTCATATTGAATCTCTGACCAGCAACTGATGATGCTGCTTGCCTCTGATGCTGATTGGTTGCCTAAACTGGGCTCACCCAATCCAGGAGCAAATGAGTCCCTTGGTTGGTATTATTTGGGATGTGGGTGGAGGCGGGTCACAGTACCCATTTGAGAGGGACTTGCTTGCTCCTCTCCCTCTGTCCTCCGCTGTTCTCTAGCATGGTGCGCCTGTATTTCTCTGGAGGCTCCCGGATGGCAGCTTTGACAGTGATGCTAATGGTGCTGAGCCCTCCTCTGGCCTGGGCCAGGGAGATCCGACGTAAGTATATACCTTGATGGTGACCTATCGTGGGGTGGGGGGTGAGGAACGGAGTTAGCTTTGTCACTATATCCAGGCCAGGTCCCTTAAAAATTGTGATATATTCTTACTGACCACCTATCTTTATCATATGGATCCTCAGTTCTGTCCACAGTAAAGGAGCCTGGGTTCTTGCCCACTTAATGAGAGTTGTATAAGTTGCCGCCATATATATGAACCATTTCTTTTCAACTCTCCTCCAATAAAACCTATCCAGCCTTGCATTCAATTCTCTTAGGGTCTTAAGATTTATCAATAAGAATGTCAAAATAATTCCTCATACAGCAGTTTCCTTTATTTATTGTGTGTGTGTGTGTTAGTCACTCAGTCGTGTCTGATTCTTTGTGACCCCATGGACTGTAGCCCACCAGGCTCTTCTGCCATGGGATTCTTCAGGCAAGAATACTGCAGTGGGTACCCATTTCCGTCTCCAGGGGATCTTTCTGACCCAGGGATCGAACCCAGATCTCCCACATTGCAGGTGAACTCTTTATGGTCTTAGCCACCAGTTATGCCAAAAAAGGGTTTCCTGAGTGGCGCTGGTGATAGAGAACCTGCCTGCCAATGCAAGAGACATAAGAGATGGGGTTTGATCCCCCATCTTACATCCCCATCTTACATCTTACATCCCCATGTAAGAATATATCAAAAGATCTCTCCCCATTAAGCCATTTCCTATCTCTGGAGCTCCAGTGTTTATAAGGATTATGTCCCTGTAATGGAAGTCCTCTGACAAAAGTTGGGGTTGGTTTTTCTCTCTATTCTGTGGAAAGCACCCTAAAGCTTAAGCAGAGATTCTTAGTACTTGGAATGACTCTATAGATAAGGAGCACTTTATGGGATGTCCTATGACACTTAAAGAATTCACATATATTCTGAAAACCTGACACAGGTTAGTATTCACTGTGAATCTATTTTGAATCTTTCTGCACAATCAGTTTCTCCTGTGTCTACCCATTCTCTGCCCTGAACCCATGAGAAAGGATTTAACTAGTGGAGCATAGATTATATAAAATTCTGTTTTTTTAAGTCAATAGCAATCAAATATCAGCAATTTCATATTGTTCAAACTATAGACCCTGAGCAGGGTACAGAGTATGAAGGTTGTTTACATCCCATAGGGTTGAAAGTCAAAAAACAAGTCAAGAGGGTTCATTGGCTTATTGAGGTCTTGGCCTCAAATTTCATAGCTTCATTTATCATGTAGTCTCTGTTCCTTAATTATTCATGTTAATAAATCTTTCTAGTTATTCCCTACTCCTTTTCCAGTTATGTCATCACCATTATTGAAAATCCCCAAGTTTACACAGACTATCAGCGCTATAACTGTCCATTAGATGAGATGAAATTTAGTGAAAATTTCTCTCTTTCTTAAAAATCACCTTTTACTTAACTTTGAATGTTTCTTACAACTAGTGGGAGGAGAAAGAGGAAGTTTGTCTGAATTTGTCATAGAAAGTAGAAGGAATTTAATGTGTCATCAGAATAAAAGTGTTGGAGCTGGAGTCCATTCTGGATGCTTTCCAGGATCGCCACAAAAATCAACTTCCAAAACTCAGGGTTTATTAGTTTAGACCAAAAATCTGTTTTTTTTGTTTTTTTTTTTTCTGAACAGCTATTATATATTGGGTTCTGTTCTAGGCCTAGAAAATTCTATTTGAATAAGGAAGAAAAGACCCCTGCTATCATGGAGACAGGAGAGAAAGACAACAACCCAATAAACTTTAACAAAGGAAAAACATTTCAGAGACAAATAAGTGCTCTGAAAAAAATATGTCAGAGTCATGGAACAATGAGAATTGCATTCACCTGATTTCAGTTCAGGTGGCTAGTGAAAGTGGCATTTAGTTGAAATATGAATGATGGAAAGCCAGTCATGTGAAGGATGTAAGGGAACAGGGAAAGAATGAAGTGAAGAAGATATTTGATTTTCTAAAGGGACAAAAAGAAGGCAAGAGTGTGGCTGAAGCATAGAAAGCAAGTTGGCATGTAGAATAAGATGAGGTTGAAGATGAAGTTAGGAGACAAATCATATTAGGTCCTGATGGCTGTGGTAAAACATTTAAATTTTCTTTAAAAAGATGTGTGAATCCTACTGAGGGATTGCTTCCCAGGTGGCGCTAGTGTTAAAGAATCTGCCTGCAAATGCAGGAGATCTAAGAGATGTAAGAGACTCGGGTTTGATCCCTAGTCAGGAAGGTTGCGGGGAGGAGGAAATGGTAACCGACTCCAATATTCTTGCCTGGGGAATTCCGTGAACAGAGGAGCCTGGCGGGCTACAGTCCATGGGGTCACAAAGAGTCAGACACAACTCAAGCACAGCACAGCACTGAGGGATTAGGAGGAAAGTCACTTGGTGGTGCTGTTTATTGAAATAGGAAAAGTTTTGGAAGGAACTAATTTGAAGTGGGTGGATAGAAGAATAAGTTTTGTTTATGTTAAGTTTGAAATAATTTATTAATATGTATGTGGAGCCTTCAAGAAGTCAGTCGAAAACATCAAATTGGAATTCAAGGGTAGGCCAGAGCCGAAGGTATGCGTGTCAGGGTCATTGACATATGCACTATGTTAAAATATAAGAAAGTAGGGGAAAGAGAGAGTGTGTGTAGATCAGAAAAAGAGAGCAAGGACTATGTCCAGAGGGCCAAGGGCTTCTAAGTCTGTAAAAGAGCCTGGGAAGGGGTACTATTGATGTTGGGGACAGCCAAGAGAATGTGATGTGTGCATGTGAAGAAAATAGATTTTTCAGGAAGGGAAGGAGTGGAAGTTGTGGTGAGTTTGACTAAGGAGGGTCACATGAGAACAGGACAGAGAAATTAGCACTGGGTTTGGTGGACTTGATGTATACAGTCAACAGAACATACAAGACAAGAGCTAGATTGGACCCTTTGAAGAAAGAAGAAGAGCTGAAGAGGTGAGGAATGGATTACAGATGCCACATTTGAGTAGCTTAAATCAAGGGGAGACTGTGCCCTAGAATCAGAGAGTAAGCTGGACCTAAAGCATAAGAATAAAAGAACCTGAAGAAATGCTGGGAGGACTTGAGAACCAGAGAGGTTCAGTCACCAGCAAAAAACACTAGAATGCCCTTGTATGTATGCAGGGGTGACTGGTTATGGAAAAAGCCATTGATTTATACAACCTTATATTTATTAGTGACCTAGAGTACAACACTTATTCCCCTAGCTGATGAGGATGGAGTAACAAACAAAACAACCCAATCTCTACCAGCATGGAAATCAAAACACTTCATGGTTGTTACATACCAGGCCCATAAATTTCAGTATGTAATTCTTATAACTATCCTATCAAATCTGTAGCAATAAAATATATCTATGGAATCTAATATTCAGAGAGTTTCAATAATTTACCCAGTGTCACATAGCTGCTGCTAGAGCCCAGATTATATAGTGTGAAACTGAGTTTATGGAAATTCCTTTTCTTTTATGTCAGCATACTGTATTTGTGTTAGATTCATATATACATTATTATTTTATAGAAAGCAATGTTTCTGCTCTTTTGTGCTCAAAATGGTAATCAGTGATAAAATTAATTGAAGACAATTGCCAAATGATGATGAAGATATCATTTGCTTTAGAAAGTAAACAAATAGATCTTGTGAGCTTAGATTAATAGGGTTTATAAAAATTAAAATGGCAATGTATTTATTGAGTACTTATGATATGAACAGCACTAGAAAGACTGCTAAAAGCAATAAATAGGAGGAATATTCATTAATTTTGCATTTGTTTTACAAGTTTCATATGGGTTCACACTATGTGCAGGCTGTCATGGGCATGTGAAGAAGAAAAAGAAGTATTAAATGTACTCCTTCTGAAATTTTGTTAGCAAGTTGGGCTAAGGTTGCCAAATATAACACAGGATCCAGTTAAATTTAAATTTAAGCTAAACAACAATAATTTCTGAAATGAAAATTTAACTGGGAAACCTATATTTTTATTTACTAAATTGGCAATCTTAAATTGGGCACATGAGTTGCAGTAACAGTGCTAACCATATAAGCTACCATAAAAAATTGACTTCACACAGTTTTATTTTTTAACTTTGTCATTAACAAGAAGGTATTAGAGAATTTCTGAGTATTAAGATAGACTTGATCTGATTCACAGTGCACTTTCTGCCATCATTTATAAGTGAAGGTCTCTTCTCAGAGTCTGGGGAATTGCTCATTTCTTGTTAACTGTCTAAATGAGGTCACTTTCTCCCTTACTTTCTTCCTTTCCAATGGGACTTGACTACAGAAATAAGAATTCTTTGTTTGACCAAAGCTGATAATTTAATGCCTACTGGTATTATTGGGAGTAGGAGACAAACTTAGAAAATGAATTATTTGGGGTTTTGAATAGGAATAAAATGTCTGTGACTGTAGTTTACTCCTATACTATAGACAAGTAGTGGGCCAGTGGCAGAGAAATTAAGAAGGAAGATGATGTGAAGGATAAATTACATGACTTTGTAATTTATTGGCGAGGGAAACAAATAAGGCTTTGTACTGAATCAATGTGGTTTACTGGAAAAGTAGCTCTCCACTGGGGCTGGATTCTTAAAAAGTATAGATTTGATGTAGGACCAAGACAGACTATTGGCAAAACTTTCAATGTAATTCTCAGTTGCTCCAAAATTAACAATGGTTTTAGCACCGTAGATTTTTCAGATGGTTTATACCGGTGGAGCTCATCTGGTGATAGACCACCACTCCTTACCCCTACTCCTTGACTCCTAAACATTTGGAAATATCTGGAGCCATTTTTGGTTGTTACACTGAGGGTTTCTTCTGACATCCACTGAGTAGGGGTCAAGGGATGCTGGTAAAGAGCCTACCACACACTGAACAGGCCCTACCCCGACCCTCAGAGCCATATTTGACCTCTTAACTCATCAAGTCAGATTTACCAATTGAGACTTGTTACCAGTTTTTAAAAAATCTGTTTTTCTGAGCTTTCTTAATTTGAAAATGCAGAAAAGAGACTGTAGCACTGTATTAGGGTTATGGTTTTAATTTCCTTAAAGCTCCTCAGTAGTTCTCCTTACATATAGTATAAAGTCAAAATCCTAACATCACCTACAGGACTTTTAAGTAACTGGCTCAATTACTTGATTTCTCCAGTGTAGTCTTTTACCTCCTCCCTGTCACTCTTTGCTCTTCAATGAAATACTTTTTCCAGTTCTTTAAAGAAATCCGTCACTTTTTCCAAGCTTTTGTACATGGTATTAATGTACGAAATACAGACACCTGAAATGTGTCTCCCTTTTACCCTAAACATAGACACACACACCCAGGTTCCTCCCTCAGTGCACGCCAACTTAGCCTTTCATGTTACATTAAATGTCACTCTTAGAGACCACTTTTTGGCACCTAATGTAATTCAGGCCATCCTATAATTGTTTCAGAACTCTAACACTTCTGATATTTCTCACTCTTGTATAAATTCTTTTATGGTTTAACTTTTTCTATCATTTTCACTAAAATTTAAGCTCCATGATTGGAGGGGACATGTCTGTTTTTGTTTCTTTGGATTCTCAGAGAGTAGCACAGGCCTGTGGCAAGGTCAGCCCCAACCAAACATTTGCAAAATGAGGTGAATATGTTTAAGGAACTGTTAAAAGAGCTGTAGGATGACGGGAGAGCGCTGGTTTTCTGGTGGAGGATTCTAGGAAGAGGTGGTGATGGGGCAAATCCTCGTAAGTCCTCAGGTTTAGAGGACTCATGCGTAGAGGGCTCCAGCCAAGCATGGAAGCTGGACTAGATCCGGAAAGGCTTGGATAAGAGAGATTTCCCCTGGCCTCCTGCAGCGTCCGTCTGTAGAGCGAAAATGAAAGAACTCAAGGCGTGCTTGTAGTTGGGGTGCCGGTGGAGCCAGTGAGGGGGTTAGGGCTAGTCCTAGCGGCCCCAGCCGAGCCTGGGTGTCCCCCGTTGGTGGGTGTCGCCCCTGCCCTCCATCCGTCATTAGCCTCTCCCCGGGAGTACGCTCCTGTGACCTGATCTATCCTGTCTCTGCAGCACATTTCCTGGAGTATGTTAAGGGCGAGTGTCATTTCTCCAACGGGACGGAGCGGGTGCAGTTGCTGCAGAGATTCATCTATAACGGAGAAGAGTTCGTGCGCTTCGACAGCGACGTGGGCGAGTTCCGGGCGGTGACCGAGCTGGGGCGGCCGGACGCCGAGGTCTGGAACAGCCAGAAGGAGATCCTGGAGGAGAGCCGGGCCGCGGTGGACACGTACTGCAGACACAACTACGGGGTCGGTGAGAGTTTCACTGTGCAGCGGCGAGGTGAGTGCGGGGGTGGGCGGCCAGGGGGGTGGGGGCAGTGTGTGTGTGAGAGAGAGAGAGAGAGAGAGAGTGGGAGAGAGAGACAAAGAGACAGAGAGAGAGAGAGAGAGAGAGAAACAGACCCACAGAGACAGAGATACTTCACTCAATCCAGGGCGAGTGTGTACGACTGTGAGTGAGTCCAAGTTAGGAGGGTTCCTGTGAGAGCCTGTTGTCAGCAGACGCTGTGATTTTGTCAGTGTGTGATTGTGAGACAGGAGAGACAGGGCCAGAGACAGAGGTAGACTGGTCCAGGGTAAGTACTAATATGTAGGATGTGAGCAAGTAGAAGTTGGGGTTCCTGTGAGAGTGTGTTGTTGGACAGTGTGTGAATTTGTCAGTGACTGTTGAGGGGAGTGTGTGTGTGTGAAGTGGGAAGAAGAGAAGAGTGTGTGTGATGGGATCTGAGGTGGTGCCCTGGGGTCTGAGTGCCCTGGGGTCTGAGAGGATGGACCTGGAGGGAGGGAAGGTGTTAGGGAGGGGTGCAGGAGGGAGGTTAAGAATTTATCCATTTCTTCCAGGTTGCTCATTTTATTGGTGTATAGTTGCTTGTAGTAGTCTCTTATGATCGATCCTTTGCATTCTGTGGTGTCTGTTGTAACTTCTTTCTTGTTTTCTAATTTTGTTGATTTGACTCCTCTCCCCGCCCCCCCCCTTTTTTATTGATTGAGTCTAGCCAAAAGTTTATTAATTTTACTTATCTTCTCAATAATAAGCTTTCAATTTCATTGACCTTTGCTATTGTTTTCTTCGTCTCTATTTCATTTATTTCTGTTCAGATCTTTATGATGTCTTTCCTTCCATTAACTTTGCATTTTGTTTGTTCTTCTTTCTCTAAAGTTGTAAGGTTAGGTTGTTTATTTGGGATCTCTCTTGTTTCTGAGTTAAGGTAGTACTGCTATAAACTTCCCTCTTAGAACCGCTCTTGCTGTGTTCCACAGGTTGTGGATTGTTGCATTTGCCTTGTCATTTGTTTCTAGGTATTTTTTGATTTCTTCTTTAATTTCTTTATTAATCCATTGATTATTCAGTAACATATTGTTTAGCCTCCATGTGTTTGTGTTTTTTACAGTTTTTATTTCCCCCTGTAACTGATTTCTAATCTCACAGTGTTGTGGTTGGAAAAGATGCTTTAGATTAATCTGAAATCTTTCATCTTATGATATTGTAAAAATGTCTTTTCCTCAGATTTCATCTTATTTTTTCACGAAAATGTCTTTATTGAACCCGTTAGCTTTAGGGATTGTATCAGGCACTAGGCACACATATTAATGAGTCCCCCATCCTTTTTTGAACTCAAATATGAGCTTAAAAAGAAAGAAAAATGTAAAATAATAATAGTTCCAATAGTAAATATGCTTGTTTTGCAAAAGAGATGGGTTGATCAGTGGTATGTAAGAATTTATATAACTTTAAAAAAAATTAATCACCTTTCCCTCTCCTTTAGGACTCACAACTCACAGAGTACAATCACATGCATCTTTCGTAGGGCAGAACCATTTCTGAGATATTCTAAGATATGAGTGCCTTGAGAGAGCTTTCCCAGGATTTCATCCTTTCTCTCCACAACTGTCCCACTGCTTTTCCCAATTTATCCACATGGCTTTGAATTAAACAAGGATAATAATAGCTAACATATATTGTAGGGTAAATTCCAGTTATTGTGTTACATACTTTAGGTATATTAATCCTCACGTAATGAATGCTAAGAGATAAGTTAGTACTATTTTCCTCCTTTAGAGATGAGAAAGTCAAGGCACAGAGGAATGCAAAAATTCTCCTAGGGTCAATCAGTAAAAAATAGAACCTGGATTTGAACCCAGGCAGTCTGGCTTCAGAAATTATGCTTTTAATTAATGTGCTATATGCCTTGCAAAGATGTGTAAACACTTCACTTCAACAATGAATAACTATTTCACGGCAGGAGAAAACACCCATTTTCTCAACATCTTTCAAACTAATGGTCCAATGTATAAATGTTAAAGATAAATCTCATGGCACTAATTCCTCTTGTGCCAGTGGACCAGCTATGTGGGAGGCCTACCCAAGGCTGCAGTCTGAACTTGAGAGTGGGGGCTGAAAGGCAGCTAACCAAGGAGACTTACTCTGTTGTCCTCACTAATTCCCTCCACCTTTTCTCTCCCAGTGGAGCCTACAGTGACTGTGTATCCTGCAAAGACCCAGCCCCTGCAGCACCACAACCTCCTGGTCTGCTCTGTGAACGGTTTCTACCCAGGACACATTGAAGTCAGGTGGTTCCGGAATGGCCATGAAGAGGAGGCTGGGGTGATCTCCACAGGCCTGATCCAGAATGGAGACTGGACCTTCCAGACCATGGTGATGCTTGAAACAGTTCCTCAGAGTGGAGAGGTCTACACCTGCCAAGTGGATCACCCCAGCCAGACGAGCCCTATCACAGTAGAATGGAGTGAGCTTTCTGATCTCATAAGTTCCTCACCCACCGTGGAGGGCGCTTGCTTTCCCCTGAGTGTTCTCTGAGTGTCTGCTCTCCCTACACCATGTGTTCATTTGCTCCTTGTTCTCCTGTCCTTCAGCTGAGGTTATTGGGGGAGCCCTGAGATAGCCTATGATAGAAATCCTCTGATAGTTTACAGATATCCTGGGATAGTTTCTCCAAATACCTACACTCCCTGGGGAGGCACTTCTGCCTGACAAGGAGAAAAGAGGTGTCCCTGTTCTGAGCTTAGTGTGATATCGCTAGTCATGGACACTACATGGCCCTGGGCACCAGTCCTGCCTCAGATTGGGCTTCTGACACTGTAGCTCTGAGTTCTTCACTGTGATCTGAAAAGACATGCATCTTCTACAATGTAAGGATGTGCTTGACATGAGTGGAGTCCAACCTCAGCTATGCTTTTTATTACATCTGTCACCTCGGACAAGCTACTTAACCTCATTGAGTCCTTGGCTTCTCATCCATTAGATGTTGAAGTCATGTGACCTAATAGCATGCTAATAGCATGACCTAATAGCATGGATGTGAAATTTAAATAAGTTCACTGTCTGAACTTTGTAGCTACTCAATGTGATTTTTAATCTCTTTTCCAGAAATGGCCAATTATTCTAATTCTTCCAGGGCAGACTTTGTTCCTCATTCTCATAGTTCACAATTTCAGCGTTGCAATTAGGAAGAGAATTTGGGATAAAAATGACTAAAACTGGCTTCTTTTCTCAGGGGCACGATCTGACTCTGCTCAGAGCAAGATGATGAGTGGAGTTGGGGGTTTTGTTCTGGGTCTGCTCTTCCTTGCAGTGGGGCTCTTCATCTACTTCAGGAATCAGAAAGGTAAGGAGCCTTTAGGCAGCTGAACTTCCTCACTGACTTTTGTAGGAAGACAAATGGTTTTGCTCAAATGAGTTCTCTGTATATCAATGGCCTCTTCTAAAGCTTATTTCCCCAACTGACCTTAATATCCCAGAGATCCAGAAATCTGTAGTCCATGGTTACTTATGGGTGAAACATAAGAGTGTGTGGCTTGTAGAGATAAGGAAAGGTTAACAGGCATGGGGATTTGGGGTGGAGATCCTGTGACAAATGCAGGAGGAGACAATAAGGCTGACTTAATTGCATTGGATTGGTATGAGAGAAACTTCATGGTGCCCTCATATAAACCCTGGCATCAGATGATGTGGGTTATGGTGTTGGGAAGATCTCTGGTGGGGCCCTGGGGCTTGGGACATTGTGTTTTGGGGATGGATCAACCTCTATATCTTTTAAGTATATATCTTCTTTTGTCTCTCCTAGGACGCCCTACACTTCAGCCAACAGGTAATGCTTTTTGTCTTTTATTTTTATTTTTATTTTTTTTGCTTTTGCCTTTAAAAATCATATTTAGTCTCCCTAGAACAGATGGTAGAGGTGACAAGACAGAGGAAGAAATAATGAAAGACTTTGGACCTGACTTCTTGTCAGGCAGTTTACATTAAAGCTGCTTCTATCAACTAAATAAAAGGCTTGTGCTCAAAGTAGCGTTGGCTCAGGAAACTTTAGAATTTTTTCCCCTTCTAACCTTAACACTTTAATATTAACCTTAGCATTCCCTTGAGAGAGGAGAAAAGGAGCTGCCTCTAGAGTTATGTCTGGAAACAACACTCTGCTCTGTCTCTTGCAGGGCTCCTGAGCTGAAGTGAAGAGGGTCACACTCAAGGAAGAACCTTCTGTCCCAGCTTCTTCACAGCATGAAAAGGTTTCCTGCTTAGCGCTAACTCTTCCACAATGAAATACTTTCTCAGGATCTCATTTGCTTCTGGCTCAGTGACCCGGTAGAAATTGTCCTCCTTGATGGCTTTCTCAGTCACCCCTACCCCCCTGCCCTCATTCTTTGACCTGGGAGTTCTCAATACTGATTCCAGTATCTTATGTTCTTTCTTCCTTGGTTCCCTTTGTTTTCAACTTCTGTTTCCTGTGCATCTGAGCTCATCTGTTCATTTTACTTTATAATGTGTTCCCTCAAATAAATATGGAGTGAAAATCATCTGCTTCATACATCTTCAAAGAAAGAAGTCAAATAAAAGATAAAGGGAAGAGTACATCACATGACAATAACGTTTTTATTTATATTCCTGAATTTTGGTCACCTGTGGATCTAGAAAGTTTCCATTCTTCCTTTATTTTTCTCTCGGGTTTTCTGCATTCTGTTATTAGACATGTTTTCCTGAGCTAGCCCTTAATGAACCCATTTTCCCGAGAAAGCCCTTAAAGAACCCATTTCATGATGGTCCCCTACATCTCTGCATTTTCAAAGACAAGTTTTTTTACACTATTGGATACAGAATTGGGACAACAAATGTAAGAAATGCAGGTAACTTGTAAGGATGTGATGCCCTCAATATTGTTGTAATCATGCTCTTTTTGTCTCTTTTTCACTGATTTTTTAAAAGAGAGTTATATAAACTAGGGTACTCCTTGAACTATTTTTTTGTTAGACTGATAGTGGGCTATAATGCTTCAATCTTTTTCTGTCTCTCCAATAAACATCATTGATGTGCTGATTCTTTGACTGGGATGCATTCTTCCCTGTAAGTAGTTCTCAGAAGTCTATCAGGACAAAGCCACAAGTCAATAACATGCATTTCTGAGGCCCTCCAGTTTCTGTTACAAACTTACTGTCTGTCACATATGGGTGTGAAGACCCATATGGGTCTTCACAGAAATCAGAGACCATGCTGGGAAGCAAAAGGGGTTATATGAATACAGTGATGTACATCCAACAATGGAATACTCTGCATTTTTAGAAAAAAATGAGACTCTCTTACTATGGAGTAATCTCCAAAATTCCCTTTCAGTATGTACAGAAGTGTGTGTACCATACACAGCATTTTGTTTAATAATGTAGAAGAGGATAATAAGAACATGTAACTAAACCCATTCATTCAATCAATCTACATATCATCCACTTATATTCATAAGTAGAGACAAAGGAAGGATTTTTTTTAATGTTGCTTTTACAGCAGAATGAGGGGATATGTTGAAGAGGACAAAGATGAAAGCTGGACTTTTCCAAATAAATCTTATTTAATGTTTTAACTTGAGGCAGTTTTGAATATTTTGTGTAATAAGATTTAAATAATATGTGAAAGGTGATATTGAAAACTAAACTCAAGCTGTAATGATTGAAACAGACTTATCAAAAATATATGATGAGAAACAAGCTAGAAAAGTAATTTTTTACTTTTCTTTTTTAGCATTTTTTAACTCTTGCATAGAACATTGTGGAACTATAATTGTAAGTCAGCATTTATTTATAAATTTTATAGACTTCAGTTGTATAAAGGAGTTGGATAGGTTCCAAGAAAGGTAACTACATTGGATAAGCAGATAGTGGGTTTTTCTTTTATATTCCTTCTGAAGAGTCAGCTTTAAATGTAAGTCAAATCTAAAGAGCAGATAGTAGATTCAGAAGCTCATTTCAGAATAATGGTAATTTGAATACAATTTCTCCATAGTCAGAAGCAACTATTATTTTGTTTTCAACCATAGTCAAAATTTATTTTATGCATATGTTGATTATGTGTGAAACAGGTTATCATATTATAGAAATTTGATAAGCTGATAGTCATATCTGCATTATGTATACATTTGGTGTAAATTTTGTTTGATGCTAAGTTGCAACTTTACTCTCGCTTTGTTCTTTAAGATGAAGAAATGAGTTGTCTCATTTTGTTTGAGATCAGTGTTCTGAAAAATAATGTAGAAAAGTGAATGGCGTGAATATCTGAATTAAGATGCTTTCTGTTAGAAAATCCATTTCGATTGGCTTTACTTTTAATTATTATCTCACATAACACATAGACCTAAGGTAGTGAGTCTGCAGAGTTCATTATCAGGCTGGTGGCGTCACCAGTTATCTGAAATGTTGGAAAAGACAACTTTTTCTTCTCCTGTGCTTTCATGGAAGGAAGGTGTTACTACATTTAGAGTAGCTAAAAGACTGAAAAGTGCTGAAAGATGGTTGTCTTCACGAGGAGAACAATTGGACTATTGCAGGGTTTATAAACCCATTGAAGCAGAGATTGAAATAATGACTATTAGAAGATAACACCAAGAGGCAGAAATATGCATTTTAGCCAGGGCCCCTATGAACCAAATCATTTTGTACCAAATAAATCAAAGAATGTACCTAAAGACATCAATCTCATCAAGTAGCTTGTTAGTTCTTTACTTATATTTGTATTTCTTTAATAGCAGAGTTATTAAACCAGATATAACAGGAGATATTTGTATAACAGGAGATATTTGTGATGGTACAGACTCCTCTGTTCAGCCAACAAGTAATCTAAAGCAATTCTGTTATCTAAACCTGTATAAGCTCAGAATAATTCTTATGCCTATAGGCATATTTTGGGGTAGCATACTTTGCACCCCTTCAAGGCCAGACTGCCTTGCTTTCTGCCTTGTGGTTTTATTTTCCTTATCTTGTATTTTTATCATCAAGCTGTAAAAATTTTGAGAAAAATAATGGAATTATATTTTTTGCAACTTTATTATTACTAAACAATGTACCAAGTTACTTTGCTTGAATTTTTCTTTTAATTCTCATTACAATTCATCAGTGTTTTCATAAGAGGAATCAGGCTAATTTAAGTAGACACCAGTGAATATATAGCTAGCAAATGACAGAATCAAGATGAAGCCCAAGTTTAACTCATTTCAACAGCACTAATTTGCCAGTCTACCATACTGTCAGGGAGAATTTTGTTCAGTCACTCAGTTGCGTCCCACTCTTTTTGACCGCATGGACTGCGGCATGCTGGGCTTCCCCGTCCTTCACTACCTCCTGGCGTTTGCTCAGACTCATGTCCATTGAGTCAATGATGCCATCCAACCATCTCATCCTCTGTCACTCCATACTCTTCCTGCCCTCAATCTTTCTCAGCATCAGGGTCTTTTCCAATGAGTTGATTCTT